GAGATTTTCTTTACAAATCACCGACAATATCATTCTCTATTTTGTAGATTTGAGTAATTAGATTGAAAAAGTGCATCTTTTTTTGGTAAAAGTAATGAGATAAAGGAGGTGAAGGATGATTAAAAAGTAAGTTGTTATGTAAGAGATCCTTTCATATTACGATAGCTAGCGCTGAAGTTAAAAATTTGGTCTTTTCTAAGTTGTTGATTCGGTTTTAATTTTTTGCTCATCTTAAGCTTGCACCATCTGACCTAACCAATAAGAAGAAGAAAAAAGTTCTCATTTTGAAACCTATCAATGACTCAACTGAGTCACAAGCGGCAAAATCCGATTCATTATATGCTATGTTGACGAGTTTATGTGTCGTGGATCTTTTATGCTTCTCTCAATGGTGTATATATGTTACTTTTGTCTTATATATTTTTCATGCAGCTAATTATGGCTTTGAGAGTTCATTTTCTAGACTGGAGAAAAGAAGAAGAAGTGCGAAAGGGCTTTTCTTGCTTGTTTAGTAAAGTCACGCTTTTTTATTTAGAATTGAGTAGGTGCTTGCTGGGGCAGGGCACCAAGTGATTTCTTAAACATTATTGTAATCTTCTAAGCTCTTTAAATGTTTTTAAAACTGGTGTTTAATGATTATGGGCCTCACATTGTTTTTTTTTCTCTATGGATAAATTGAATCACAACTCACTGAATGGGAAAAGTATCGCCGGTGAGGAAGATTTGGATGGTACTTTATATTCACATTTTGCTAACTTACTTTTTTTAGCAGCATGCATTTAAGTACCTAACTCCGTTTTTTGCAGTGGTCTTACATAATAGTCTACAGTGAGATTAGTGGCCTAATGCTTCTACAAAATTCCAAAGACATCATATCTTCTCAGCCATAAAGGAGGAAGAAGAACATGGCGACTTGAAGCCAGCCTCTATAGCTGAGGATGGAAACTGCAGCATATCTTAGTTATTATCTCTGCTCCTCTCCCTTTCAAGAACGAGAAGCCTCAGTATGTAACCGTTGGAGAGACTTCTTACGACTCCTTCACCATCAAGAACACTACGGACGAGGCTGTGGATTATGGACCAAAATTTACGCATCTAACCCTGAGGATTCTTTCACCCTCTATCTTGAAACAGCCTTCGAAAGATTCAGACGTCAAGGAGATACAGAGCTTTTACGAAACTTTTACACTTGAAGACAGAATGCTTGAGCCTGGTGACACTTTGACTATCTGGTTGTCTTGCAAGCCGAAGGATATTGGTTTGCATATGACTGTTATTAGTGTTGACTGGGGGTGTGACAACGTTGAGCGTGTTGTTTTCCTTTTGGCTGAGGATAAGATATCGAGTTCTCTTGCTACTAACAGGCCTTACTCCAGGAATAAAAGGGCTCCTAAGAAAGATTTTTCTGTGGATAACTACGTGCGGGATCACGTCCTTTTAAGGCGGTAGCACAACGTGCTTATAAAAATAGGTAATCCAATACGTAACTTCGTGATTTTATTAACAAATGGGAGTCGCTCACCAATGTTGTGTTATGGTTACATGGCTTCCAGTTGTATTCATTTGAAACCCTGATACATGCTTATCAAACAAAACAATTTTTAGCGACATTTGTAGATATTAGTGAATTAAATGTTTTGCATGGTTTCTCATATTGCTTCATGTGCATGTCGAAGCAAAATAAGTTTTCTTTTCTACTACAAAGCTTTCCTAATCTAAAGACACTGGTTTGGGAGAAAAAGGTTTATTTGATCATAAAGGAATTTTCTTCATCATCTGATAAGGTTCGTAGTTGTTAATTTGCCAAAGTAGCGGAATCCTAACACTTACACTGTAGGTATAGTTTCTGATAAATTGTTTGTCTTTCTATGGTTATTATTGTTACAAGCTCCCTGATAATGGATATGAATAGCAAAATTGATGTGTATCGTGCAAATAATATAACTCTCCATTGCCAAATAATAGACGAAACCATTTTTACACAAATTGAGCGGAACTTGAAAAAAGCGATTGTCCATAAGAACTATGTTGTTTCAAGCTATCTGTTAGCAAAGTTTTTTCCATGTTTCTTAATTGGAAAACCATTATTTTCCTAAGTTGGATGCTATGATAGATGCATTAGTTACTACTTAGGTTATGTTTCAACATGATTAGTTTCATAAGTTTCATCTTCTACTTTGATATCTATGTAGAAAAAGAAGAAAAGGTTACAATTATTATTAGGGGTGGTTAAAGCACTGCAAGAAATGAACAGCAAGAGCAGCATTTTGAAGTATTGGACGTAACATTTAGTTCTTTTATCTTGGTGAGTTTTCCTTATCGAGACAATGGCTAACTTTGACCAATCACTTCAAATTTTAATTTTGTATAGCTGTTTCCATTGATATTAATATATTTTCTAAATAGGATCATCTAAATGCAACACAGTCATAGAAACAAAGAATCTGAAAACAAGACATGTGGGGATAAATAAAAGTACAGATCATTTTTTGTGCTTATGTGGCAAAAAATTCCTAAGGGCATGTACATCAATAAATCTGGAGAGAGGGGTTCACAAAACTTTTTTTTTATTTTTTTTTTATTTTTTTCGTTTTGACTTAAAAAAAAAAAAAAAAAAAAAAAAAATTGGACCAATTGCGGGCCGCCACGTGGCGTGGGGCCCGCGGAATAGTGATGAACCAGGTTCATCCCACTGAACCTGCATGAAACGAATCCACCCCATTTCACTTATTTTATTATTTTCTTTTCTTGAAAAGTGTGAGAACTCCACCTATAAAACTTTAATGTGGGTGCTCTAATGGGATTGATTACCTACCTATCGGCAACCTTGTACCTTTGGATAATGGTGATGGGACTTATTCCTGATTTTGACGATCCAATATATGATTTTAAAATTTTTGGAGAGTCATGAAATTTTTTTCGCTATCTACTGATATTTTGTCTGTTTTTAATTGAATAGAGTTCATAATAGAATTTGTGACAAAAAAAAAGACTTCGTAGTAGAATATAGCAGGCTAGAACTAAAGGTCTTAAAAAACAAACTGGTATTTGAAAACTTAGCCGTGAAGTTGGCTGTTATGGCTTCCACTTACATGAGTAAAAATGTTATATGAGTCTATGTGTTTCCAAAACTGAGATGCAAAGCAATTTTTCTGATAACTATTTGAAACTTTATTTTTGATATAAAATGTGAAGCGCACAAACAGATCCTGAGCCTGTTGTATTGTATTTGGTTTCTTAATAAAGGGAATGAATATGGTGCAAGCATTGTAAGGGTGGGGAATATTGGGAGGAAAGCCAGAAGAATCAAATTAACTCTTTTTTTGGAAAACGAGATAACACACTACTATTCTTAGTTGCAGAGTTAATTTTTTTATAGTGAGAGATAGTTTGCTTCAAGTTGTTCTTGCCTAGATATAACCAAATTACTGAATATGATGCATGTAAGTATAAGCCAAGAAGAATTACAAATATGTTAAGTCTCCATCTATATGTACCAAATGTTATACAAGAGGTATGCATGTATGTACTGCTATTAAATTACACTGATAAGATGAGAATATATTTCTTAAGCTGATAATATGAAACAGAATGAGTAACTATGTTCTTTCATCTTTCAACTTCTAATGTTGTTATTTGAGTTGTTCTGTTTTTAGTAGAAATGTTTAAAAAAAAGTTATAATCTAACAAGTCAATATCAGAGTTTAGTAATGAAGTTGAGGGTGTGCTCAAAACAAAAAAGTAATGAAGTTGAGGGTGAGGATGGTTGTAAGTATATTTGTAGTTGATTTTTAAAATTAGGTTTCTTTGTGTATAATCATATTCATGATGAGAAAAATGACTAAGAAGTTGAAGTTTGTAGCACAAGTACAGGTGGATTAATCTCTTCGTCTTCTTTAACTTTCTTAAAATTGTTATAAGAATGATTAAAAGAGAGTGATTTTATTAATCACTTTATTTTTTTTAATACTTCCACAAACAGGGGTAGATATAGGACTGTATTTAGATGGGGCACATGACCAAGGGAGAAACCAAATAGGTCATTAAGGGTGCAAGTGGACCCAGTGTATTCTAAATATTTAAAATTTTACACTAGAAAAGTAAAGTGAAGGTGGATAATTTGGTTATGGTGCACCCATAACTTCCAAATTATCGGAGTTCAATTCATATTATACTAGTTTATTAGTATTTTGCACACATTTATAAAAAAGTCTAGCTTCACCCCTGACATGACCCTTTTTCAGTATGTATAATCTTCTAAATTGAGCATTCCTTAAATATTTTACATATTACCATAGGAAAATTAAAAATCAGACGGGTCACGTGACCTCATACCGGTGGCTGTGCATCCGCCCCTACTCACGTACGTGCTAGTATTAATAGTGTTTTATAGTGTAATTGAAAAGAATAAAAGTGTCTTTAAGTGTAAAAAAATCATATTAATAAAGTGGGTGAGCTGATGTTTATTTTTAGGAAGATTCCATCAATTTCTATGCTTTTAATAGTACAAAATATTCACATTAGTTAGTAATTTATGTAACCTGTAATTATAATCTTTTTAATGAGTATGTAAGTGGAATAGAAGATTCCATAAGATCTCATAATTATTTCATTTTTTTAGTAAGGTAGTGATTTTTATTTCTGAAGTAACACTTAAGAAACATTGAAATATGAATGGGAACCACTATTTCGTTAATTTGCAATATCTATCCATTGTTGTCAAATTAATTTGAAATATTTATCCCTCTCCATTCACTATACACCATTCGTTTTATCTCATTTATATTTATTCAATTAGAATTCATTATATTTCTTTATATTATTTAGATGATAACAATGCTGTCCTTCTTGTAGGTTGGATGACTCACTATAATTATCATTAAAATGGTAAAGATATCGCAACCCATAAACTTTATTTTCATTAATATATTAATTTATGTTATGCATATGTTAATTAATTCATAGTTAATTAACAACATTACATAAGTAACTAAAGTCCTTCATATGGAACACATGTGGAGTTTAAGCCACTCAACTCTGGAAAGAAGTTTTCCCACCGTAAAGTTGGCCACTTCGTTTGGATCCGTTATTATATTAAATCTCTCCCAGTTGACTCTATTTTTTGTATCAGCTCCTGGACCTTTGTTTTCATTTTCACCATAAAACAAGGTAGACAGACGTGCTTTATCATCATTCCATGGAAACCAACCAGCAAGATCAATGAGGTCATCGAGAAATGATTCCATGAACACCACCCTTGAGAGAACACCCCATGGTCGTCCCATATAAGTTTTTAACATTCCTTTGAGTGGAGTGAGATCCAAAGTTGCCATTACGTTACATTTGTGGATGTAAAATCCTGAGTTTTGGTGGTTGTCCTCACGTTTTTGAGCTGTAATCATGTTGCTTTGTCCTACCAACGGTTTTCTCGCCTTAATTTGGCATAACTGGAAGACTGATGCTGCATTGCTGCTTATAAAATCAACCATCCCGGTTATATAACATTCACTGTAGAACTTTCTACCCGAGTGAGCATAAAGTGTGTCCTAAATGCATTGACTCGGCACCGGTACACGACAGACATAAATGCGCTTATTTGTGCATTATTAGTGCATATCATCTTTCGTTATGGGAAATAACATTTTATAGATTGATTATAGAAGAAATATGAATATGCTGAGTTTAGTTAATACAATATGTATACATATACATATATATATGTTTTTGTTGTTGTTTAGTAAGCTTCAAAATGTTACAGAAACGAAAGTTTGGGATGTGATTACCTCGGAAGAGGAATCTATATTTTGTTTGTATTTGAAATTGTTTTGGATCCGTGATTTATGATTGCGGGAAATAAATGTTCACACTTGGCTGATCGTGTGCATCCCAACAGTATTCATCAGTCCATGAATACTCAAGCTTAATATACTGCCGGGAAGGATTACATGAAAGATCCAGCATCAGTCCACGAAAAAGTCCTATCAGTCCATGAAAAAATCCAAGATCAGTCCGTGATGGATTTTATCGAGCCAAGGAAAATCCTATAAGTACACGAAAAATCCTATCAATACGTGAAAAATCCAAGATCAGTTCACGAAAAAGCTAAGCTTAATGTACTGCAAGGAAAATCCTATCATTCCATGAATGAGACAGCATCAGTCCAAGAAAAAATCCTATCATTTCATGTTGGGTTTCCTATCAGTCCGTGGAAAATCCAAGATCAGTCCACGGAAAATCCTATCAGTCTATGAAAAAGCCAAGATCAGTCCGTGAAAAATCCTACCAGTATGTGGAAAATCCAAGATCAGTCCACGGAAAATCCTATCAGTCCATGAAAAAGTCAATATCAGTCTGTGGAAAATCCTATCAGTACATGAAAAATTCTATCCGTCCGTGGAAAATCCAAGATCAGTCCACGTAAAATCCTATCAGTCCATGAAAAAGCCAAGATCAGTCCGTGAAAAATCCTATCAGTACGTGAAAAATCCTATCAGTCCGTGGAAAATCCAAGATCAGTCCACGGAAAATCTTATCAGTCCATGAAAAAGCCAAGATCAGTCCGTCGAAAATCCTATCAGTACATGAAAAATCCTATCAGTCCGTGGAAAATCCAAGATCAGTCCACGAAAAATCCTATCGTCCATGAAAAATCCAAGATCAATCCGTGGAAAATCCAAGATCAGTCCACGGAAAATCCTATCAGTCCATGAAAAATCCACGATCAGTCCGTGAAAAATCCTATCAGTACATGAAAAATCCTATCAGTCCGTACGTACTGCCACGGACGTCCGTACGTACTGCCACGGAAATCCAGTGCGTACTGCCACGGACGTCCAGTACGTACTGCCACGTACTGCCATGGCCGTATTCTATATAAAGAAAGTTATCTTTTTATTTTTGTAACACAGATAGAGAGATAACTTTCTTTATACAGAATACATCCAAAAAATAAAAACTCCGCATTTGCGCGGTTCGTGATTTAGTGTTTCTAATAAAATAGGACTTTGAATAATTTTTGGTATGTCTATACTAAGCTATATAGTATAATTAGTCATATAATTTTGTTTATCCATATATACGATATTATCAGACAAACTGTTGACAATATTTTCACTATTATTGTGTTTTCTTATATTCAATATGATGTTATTTATCCAAAATGATTTTAACAATTTTTGTTTCATTTAACGTCGTTTATCCATAATAATAAATTAAATTTCATATTTTTTTCTTTGAACACCTTCAAATTTCATATCTTTTTTTGAACACCATCAAATTTCATATCTTTTTTTAACACCATCAAATTTCATATCTTTTTTTTTAACACCATCAAATTACAAAAGATATCAAATTTCATATCTTGTGTAAATTATATGTAGCTTTCTTCCATAAAATATGGTATCCCAAATTAAACAAACTATCCAAGAGACTCAATGATAAACCGTTTTTGTAAAGTAATGTATAAAATTAAATGAAATTCCTTTAATACTATTTCTCCATAACATATTATGGTTTTTCAGAATATATATGTATTGAAAGACAAAAGAAGAAGTATAACTCGAAATAACACTTTAGCTATCTCTCTATCTGTGTTACAAAAATAAAGAAAGTTATCTCTCTATCTACCTCACCCTCCACAATGCCACACTGAAATTTTCTAGACTATCTTTTCAGGGAAAAGTTAAGAAAAAAGTAAGTAAAAAATAATAAATATAAATGAAATATAATGGAAATAATAGCAAAAATACACTAACCAGTAAATATATATATATAGGATCATGACGTTATCAGAATTTTATTAAATATTAAAATATAAAAATTTAATTTTTATGTTACCAAAACAATTTTCAAATACAAAACCAAACAAAATATAGATTCCTCTCCCGAGGTAATCACATCCCAAACTTCCGTTTCTATAACAATTTGAAGCTTACTAAGCAACAACAACAAAAACATATATATGTATACATCTTGTATTAACTGAACTCAGCATATTCATATTTCTTCTATAATCAATCTATAAAACGTTATTTCCCATAACAAAAGATGATATGCACTAATAATGCACAAATAAGCGCATTTATGTATGTCGTGTACTGGTGCCGAGTCAATGCATTTCAGGACACACTTTATGCTCACTCGGGTAGACAATTCTACCGTGAATTTTATATAACCGGATGGTTTATAAGCGGCAATGCAGCAGCAGTCTTCCAGTTCTGCCAAATTGAGGCGAGAAAACCGTTGGTAGGACAAAGCAACATGATTACAGCTCAAAAACGTGAGGACAACCACCAAAAATTAGGATTTTCCATCCACAAGTGTAATGTAATGGCAACGTTGGATCTCACTCCACTCAAAGGAATGGTAAAAACTTATATGGGACGACCATGGGATGTTCTCTTAAGGGTGGTGTTTATGGAATCATTTCTCGATGACCTCATTGATTCTGCTGGTTGGTTTCCATGGAATGATGATAAAGCACTACTGTCTACCTTGTTTTATGGTGAAAATGAAAACAAAGGTCCAGGAGCTGATACAAAAAATAGAGTCAACTGGGAGGGATTTAATATAATAACGGATCCAAACGAAGAGGCCAAATTTACGGTGGGAACACTTCTTTCCAGAGTTGAGTGGCTTAAACTCCACATGTTCCATATGAAGAACTTTAGTTACTTATGTAATGTTGTTAATTAACTATGAAATAATTAACATATGCATAACATAAAGTAATATATTAATGAAAATAAAGTTTATGGGTTGCGATATCTTTACCATTTTCATGATAAGTATAATGAGTCATCCAACCTACAAGAAGGACAACATTGTTATCATCTAAATAATATAAAGAAATATGATGAATTCAAATTGAATAAATATAAATGAGATAAAACAAATGGTGTATAGTGAATGAAGAGGGATTAATATTTCAAATTAATTTGACAATAGTGGATAGATATTGCAAATTAACAAAATAGTGGTTCCCATTCATATTTCAACGTTTCTTAAGTGTTTATTCGGAAATAAAAATCACTACCTTACTTAACAAATGGAATAATTATGAGATCTTATGGAATCTTCTATTCCACTTACATATTCATTAAAAAGATTATAATTACAGGTTACATAAATTACTAACTAATGTGAATATTTTATACTATTAAAAGCATAGAAATTGATGGAATCTTCCTAAAAATAAACATCAGCTCAACCACCTTATTAATATGAATTTTTTACACTTAGAGACACTTTTATTCTTTTCAATTACACTATAAAACACTATTAATACTACCATGTACGTGAGCAGGGACGGATGCACAGCCACCGGTATGGGGTCACGTGACCCGTCTGATTTTTAATTTTCCTATAGTAATATGTAAAATATTTAAGGAATGCTCAATTTAGAAGATTATACATAATGAAAAAGGGTCATGTCAGGGATGAAGCTAGACTTTTTTATAAGTGGGTGCAAAATACTAATAAACTAGTATAATATGAATTGAATTCAGATAATTAGGAAGTTATGGGTGCACCATAACCAAATTAACAACCTTCACTTTACTTTTCTAGTGTAAAATTTTAAATATTTAGAATACACTGGGTCCACTTGCACCCTTAATGACCTATTTGGTTTCGCCCTTGGTCATGTGCCCCCATCTAAATACAATCTTACATTTGCCCCTGTTTGTGGAAGTATTAAAACAAATAAAGTGATAAATAAAAGCACTCTTTTAATCATGTTTATAACAATTTTTAGAAAGATAAAGAAGACGAAGAGATTAATCCACCTGTACTTGTGTTACAAACTTCAACTTCTTATTCATTTTTCTCATCATGAATAAGATTATACACAAAGAAACCTAATTTTAAAAATCAACTACAAATCTACTTACAACCATCCTCACCCATAACTTCATTACTTTTTTTTGTTTTGAGCATACCCTCAACTTCATTACTAAACTCCGATATTGACTTGTTAGATTATATCTTTTTTAAACATTCCTAATAAACACAGAACAACTCAAATAACAACATTAGAAATTGAAATATGAAAGAACATAATTACTCCTTCTGTTTCATATTATCAGCTTAAGAAATATATATCATCTTATCAATGTAATTTAATAGCAGTACCTACATGCATACCTCTTGTATAACATTTGGTGCATATAGATTGAGTAATTTAATAAGAATTACTCAATCTATATGTACCAAATGTTAATCACAATCCAGAAACTACAACAAAGTTCATAGTTGATCTACTTTAAGACATATACAAACAAAACATAACTTTTAAATTTCTAACATATGTTCCATCTTACATAAAATTATATTATAAGTCAACGATTGTAAAGTTATTTTAAAGCAAACCAATCATCATCTATTTTCAGATAGATATTTTAAAGCATACGTAATAGAAAAATAAAGTTATTGTGATAAAAAATATTATACATTATATATTTAAAGGCAAAAAATACCTTAAAATATAATAAATTATGATTAATACTTTTTACTTTGTCTCTATAATAAAAACTAGGATAAGATATGGATCTTGCGCAAAATAAATTTATATAAAAATTATTTAAAAATATTCTATGGAAAAATAAATCTATATTCTTGATTGAATTAATATTTTGGTCTTTAAAAAAAATTAAAACTTTTTTGTTAATCACATAATTTGTTTACTGGTGAGCTGATCTCATTTTAAAAAATATTTTATGTCAAAATGTCACTTACCGCAAAGAACCTAATGTTTAGGTCAAAAAATATCGAGTCTATTTGGTAACAACGAAACTATGCCAGCTCGGTTTTATATCATGATTTAGCAATTTAAAAATTAATTATGGTTATGAAAATTTTACGTTCACGTGCCAATCCTATCTATCTTCAATATTTTTTTGTGTTTTTTCATTTTGATTATTGCTCGATATAAATATTGATTTTGAAGTTTATTCTCATTTTGTTTGTTTGTTTTGGCCTAAGATTTAGATAATGCTTAAGATTTAAAATAATTAAAGAGATGCATACTTAGGTTAAGATCTGCACTTTTTGCAGAATAAGTATTTTATATTTATTATTTATTTTATGTGTTTCTGCATATTATGAAATAATAAAATAATATACATATATATACATATATATATTAAATAACTAAAAATAAGAAATAAGTTACTATTATGTAATAAATTTGCGTCTGCATATAAATCTAACGATCACTCTCGTTTATTTGCAATTAGAATAAATAAATCAATATATCAATCTTATCTATCGTATATGATATATAATTAAATTTAAATGATATTAACATAGATATATTGCACACTTTTAATATGTTTATTTATTAAATGAGGTTTCTACTCATATGATTTTATGATTATTTACATATTTGTATAACAAAATTCACACCAACAAAATTTTTTTAATGTGAGATGTTTAGTAATTTCAATAATTTATAATCATTTAAAAAGACAATGACAGATTTTAAAATTAAAATATTAACTTCTCAATATATGTTCAATGCAAATATCAAAATATTAGTATGTATTTTCATACGATGTATAATTTAAATGATAGGAAATATATATATATATATATATATATTAACAGAAAACTTATTAAAATATTATTACTTCATCTGCTCTTATAATAATTATATCTTAATATATAAAAAATTTAAACCTTGATCATAAAAGTTTATGTGAGATTTTTAACAGTTTTAATAATTTATACACGTTTCGGAAAATTTGAAATATAACATACAGAAAAAAAAATCTGGACTTTTATTAATGATTAATGTACTTTTGCAATTTTTTTAATAATAAATAAATAAATAATACTAGAAAGTATACACATTGATATCAAATCTTTATTGTTTAAAATCATCAATTGACATATATATATATATATATATATATATATATATATATATATTTTAATCAGATTAAGTACTTTTGTATGTTTTATTTAAGGAAAGCTTGTGGAACAATAAATATTTGATATATGCGACCAACTATAGTCTACGAAATATTATATTGCTAGAGAGTATAATTTTTAGACTATACATTATTTTACATGCTTTAGAATCATTCTAAATCTATTACTAATAAAAGGGGAATAACAAAGCATATGAGGATGTCCACCTAGGCACTTTTTTTCAACCAATCATGTGCTTCTGTTTTGCCAGCTAGATTTCTCTCCCTCTCGATTGGGCTTCAAGAATTGGGCCTGTGTTTTCTGTAACCCAAACCATTAACCCATTAGGTTATCCCAACCATATCTCCCCTTCCTTTCTCCTCTCTTCTATGCAGCTTCTCTGTCGTTTCTGATTCTCACCTTACTATTGTTTTTATACTTACAATAAAATTATTCTATACTTACAATAAAATTATCTTTATATTTGATTAATACTTAATTATGTTTAATATACTATTGTTTTTATACTTACAATAAAATTATCTTTATATTTGATTAATACTTAATATATTTTTAATGAGATTTAGTAATATTATATTTCAAATAAAATTAAGTTATATTCAATACAGATATTATATACATCAAATAGTATATTTCGACTAAACTAAAATTAAAATAAATATAAGAAAGATTTAATAATTAATATCACTACACTATAATTAAATACTTTTCTTATCTTAAAATAAATGTATCTTAAAAGTAAACAAAATGTAAATAAGGAAATTTTCTGTAAACTAAATAATTTCTAGATTAATAAAATGTGAAAATCCCAATTTTGTTAATTTATAGAGGTTTTACTGTGTATATAAAAGTAAATTATAACCTACAGGAAGTAATGATCATACATAAATAAGTCAATAATCTATTACTATTTGTAAAAATATTTCTCTATAAACTTCCGCAAATATAAAAAAACTTAATATTTGTGGCAGTTTAAACATTAAAATATATATATTTTAAACTAAACCAGTCAAGAAAAATCTTTTTATATTAATATATCCATTATTAAAAACTTTTAAATGTGTATTTGTTTTTTTAAGGTATATTACTTCATGCGAGTCGTCCTGGCGGATTCTTGCTTTTCCTACACATTATCGTACTACTTCTGTTGCGAAACTTGGATTTCACCTTTCGGATCAGGAGATGGTGTATTACGATGAAGATGAGCCTATTGAGAATATTCTCAATAAAAAGACTATCAACCAATCCATGTTTCTAGCCTGGTTCAAAGCAAACAAAAAATACCCTGAGGCAAGAGAGTTGATATATGCTGAGTTTCCAACCAAATTTGTTTGGAAATCAGGTACGAGAGAATGGGTACCACGGCAACGAGGCTTTGCAATAGGGAGGATAGTGCATATTCATCCATCATGTGAGGAGCTATATTTTCTTAAGAGTATTGCTAAATTGGGTTAGAGGGCCAACATCATACGATGATATAAAAACAGCTGATGGTGTTTTATATTCTACATATGAGGATGCTTGCTATGCTTTAGGTTTGATGGATGATGACAAGGAATACATAGAAGCTATCAAAGATGCCAGTTTTAATAGTTCTGGCACATATACCCAGAAGCTTTTTGCGAGAATGTTGGTATCTGACTGCTTATCTCAGCCTCATGTTGTATGGGAAGCTACTTGGGAGTATCTTACAGAAGATATTCTTTACAACAAGCGGAGAGAAACTGGACGACTTGGTAAGATTTGTTTTATTATTCTGATTA